CAGCAGTTGGGTGTGCATTAGTAGATCGTCTACCGGACGAGAATACTTCAATGCTCTTGGCAACACCGGCTTCCAAAATGTTCGTGCCTCTAACCTTCTTACATGCAGGCAGGGGCGCAGCATGACAGTCATGATTGCATCCATTCAGCTTCTTGACACACCCTTCCAAGCCCTGCAAGAGCCCCTATAGAATCTTCCCAGGTACATCGCATTGGATTTTGGATGGGGAGGCTAGGGGGCAGATCGCCCAAGCGAACTCGAGCCTGGTCAAACAGCCCTGGAATCTGTGTCTTTGCAGATCACAGCCCCCTAACCAAAGAGGAAAGGCGCAGGATGCAGAAGCGTCGATTGGTTCGAAAGCATAAAGATCCTGGGACTGGCAAAACAAGATTTTCCGGAAACAAGAAGGCGCTTAAAGCTTCTGGGCTACTTTCCTGAATTAAAGCAGTCATGCGCGACTCTTACGACAACGATGTGTCTCCCATGCGCGTATTATGTAGCCGCACAACTTAGGCAATACCCGCTTGGGTTTGGGCTTCGTTTCCTGAGAGGCTTCCATCGGTTCATTGAACACAAGGAAGCATTGCGAGCTCAGCAGGCCAAGCGAACTTTCAAGTCAGGTTTCAATGTTGCCCGAAAACCCTGTGTGTCTCTTGCGATGTGCTCCCCTTGCTTTGCCCCGGAAGCCTGCAAAACCTAGTCTTGTAAACATGCCCCAGCCATCCCCAGCCTTGCAGGTGAAACGCGAGTACAAGGATGCGAAGACTATTCTTATGGACAAGGCCCTGTATGCGGACTTGTGGGAGGATGCCCAGATGGGTTCCGTGGTTGCTTATCTTAGAGGGGCGCAAACTCTTTCGCTCCCGGAGGAGTGGAAGGCGGCCTATCCTAAAAGTTTGCCACCAGAGTAGCCAATATACAGTGTATTTACTTTCCATGCTGAGGAGAAAGCAGGTTGGGTGTGGGGAATAGTCTAGGATGCCCTGCTTAAGATGTTTCTGGCAAACTTTTTGTGGAATCTGTAGCAGAGGCTTGTAGATAGCATCTTCATGCGGCTGTCTCTCGATCCCTGTAAAAGGTGCCGCGTAAGCTGCGGAGTCAAATCTAGAGAGCAAAAGATGGTTTCTTTGCCATAAGAAATGTTTTAGCGATATCGTGCAAAACCTGAATAATCATCACTGCAACTGTCACTTCGTAAAGTGGCGTAAAAAGGCAGGAAAGCGGCGTACAAAAGCGTAATTAAATTATGGTTTTTTCTGCCACTTTGGTCAGCCCAAAATTTCCGAATAATTCTAGAAATTCCCTGAATGTCGTACCAGCGGCCCAAGTCCAGAGCGGCGCTCGCTCTTCCATGGCTTCCGAAGCCCCAGTGCCCTTGTTGTCACAGCAGTGGTCCTGTGGCAGCCTCCTTCGGGGGCAGTCTTTCATGGCAGCTCAGAAGTTTTCACTAGATGAGAAGATGACAATGGAGGAGAAGATTGCTGTGACCTGGTTTTGCTAGCATGGCAAGAGCATTTAGGCACACTTGGGTGCGTGGACGAAGTAAAAGTAAATAAACTATCATCAACTGAGGCTGCTAAACAACATCTAGATATGCTGCGAGTGCCGCGGCCAATGCCTCCTGGAGATGCTACTCCCAAGCAAGCTTCTTCGCCTCACGTGAAGCCAGAGCCCTCAAGCCCCGCAGAAATCCCAGCCGCTCAATCCGACCCTTACACTCAGGACATGTGCCCTGTCAAAAGTTTGAACATATTCTGCCTCGCGTGTCTTCTGGCCTTCGCACGCTCTGAGTGTGAGGATTTGGATTTGACTGCCGATGCGGATGATGATGAGTCCAAGCTCACGGATATTGATTCGCAAGGGAGTTTGGCGGCAGCCCTCAAAGAGGAGACTCCGATACCCTCAGATACTGTTCAGCAAAATGTCTGTGCGCTCAACATGCTCCTGCTTCTGAAGTAACAAACCAACTACGCAACCATTACCCCTGCTGCCCAGGATGATCAATCCTCCCAGAGCGACGGTGAGAAGGAGGTCGAGGCCACATCGGCAGCGCTCCCGCCTGGGATGTGTATGAGTTGAAGACTCTCCCCCTATGGATTGCATGCTACCTTGATTCTTATCTGTTGGTGCAGGAGGGTTCCAAAGAGTGGAGACGTTGCGAAGCAAAGATTCGCCGGATGGTCACACCGAGCAAGCGCACGGGTAATGTGGCCACAAGCCCCGAAATCCTAAAAAGGTGGGAGTGCAAGGGCGGACCTAGGAAGGATCTCATCAGGATGATGGTGAAGTGCGATGGTATCAAGGACCCTGGTAATACTTCCCTATTAGCATTTCTACACGGGCTGTATTTCGACTTATTAGATAATTAGATTTCCTCAGGAGAACTGGACCCGTCTGGTTGAATACTGGATCAAGAAAGAGAAGTCCAATGAGCTCGTCGTTACTTGCGGTTGGTACAGCAAAGAGAAGATGCGAACCGAACTGAAGTTTTTCAAGCTGGGGCCTCTGTACCGCGGTGCTTAGCAGTCACCCTTGTTTTGTTTTTATGGTTTCAACTCAGGGTCCGCGTGGCGAATGTCATCAAGTACTGTTCCCACCCCGACCGTGTCAAGACTCACCGGAGGCTGCATTGTGATTGAAAATCTGGCCAACCCAAACCCCTTTTCTCGAGCTGAAAAAGGGTGTTTGGGAAGAGAGTTAACATGCTATCCCTATGAAGCCTGCCCCTGCCTAGGAGAGACAAGTACGAAAAAGGCGTTTACGAGTACTGGGTGGAGGAGATGACGAAGGGGCAGCTCAAGTTGTTGCAGAAAGAGTGTTGGGAGGAGAAGATCATATCTTCCATGACAGGGAAAGGAGAGGACATGATTGACAAGATGTCGCCTGGTGACACAGACAGTTCTAGTGAGGACTCTAGCGGCGGGAGCGAGAGTGACTCGGAAACCACCACCCCCAAGAAGAGTGCCAAAAAAAAACAACAAGTCAAAAAAGGGCAAGAAGGATAAGAAGTCTTCCCCGAAAGCCCTGAAACGGAAGAAAACACGATCCCCGCGCTCCTCGGCAAGCACACCGCAAAAGTCGACTGAGCTTGAGGAACCAGCCGAAGCGATGTAATTCTAGCTTTACTCGACTGCTTTATCGTGTACTCCACCCTACCCCCAACATCTACTAAAACCCTGCAGGCCATCGAGAATGCTGGCGAGGTTCTCACTCAGCTTCTGAAAATCGGAGGCAGGATTGATGCAGCTGCTTCCAAGCTCGAGAAGATTACAGGTGCGAAGGCCAAAGAGACCTTCGCTTGCAGTAGTTGATTTCTGATATGTCTGTATACTGCGTGATGCATTTGAACTCATCCGTGTCTCAGGGCCCTTACGATTGTGAATGGGTATGCTGCCAGTCTGTGCTCCTACCACGACCAGATTGCCGAGATCAAAGCCTCCTATTCTGCCAACAAAAAGTCGTTGTCGAATGAGCCGCTTGGAAAAATCACCTGTGTTAACTAACTTGATCTACCCACCCAAGAGAACTCAAACCCTGTACTCACCACTATCCCAAATCCCGAGGACGCAGCAGAAGCTCAAGACGCTTGTCATCGAGACGGAGAAGATGCCCTCCCCTTACTACATAATACTGGTAAGTATTGTGAATGACTTCTTGAAGAGTTTTTGTCACTACCTTTCAGGTGTGCAAGATTCATTATGGAAGAGGCCAAGTTGAAGAAGCCACCTGGTTTATTTATCAAGGCATGCCATGAACTACCGCCCCAAATTCCCCAAACAGAACTATCCCCTAATTAAATCTAAGGACTGTGATGAAGAAAACGGTTGCGAGCGACGCTCCAAAGCCTTCTGACAAGACCCCCAAAAAGGGCCCCAGTAAGGCGGGTAAGGCTAAAGCCAGTAAGGGAAAGGCGGGAAAGGTCAAAAAGAACCATCCCAAGAAGGGCTGCTGAGCTATCCATCTACCCTGAATGTGGTCGAAACATCCTCCAGGTGACAATATCCAAGTACCTAGAAATAATTTCATCTTGTGTTCCGTGATGCCGGTGGTGGATGGCGTGGGCTGCCGCGAAGTCAACCTCGCTTCGTGTTCTTTAATGCGGGGCAGAGGAGCCACTACCTCGGGGTAATGGGTGTAATTCTTCAACATCATCTGTAGAGTACACTGTTGAGGGTATGTAGTGCTTCTCTTTAATGCAGGTGCCAAGGAGTTGCCTGCAGGGTTTTTGAGCTCAAGGCCTTCAAGGCATTATGAGTTCATATCAGTGCGCTGTATGCGTGAGCTGGATGCTGCAGCGGGAAATCCTGCTGTATGTTCCACGATTAAGGGGGCAAGTGGGAGATGAAATGAAGCGTGCGCTTCTGGTTGTGCTCGAACCCTGCCCGAATCTTTGCGCTTCATCCAAGAAACCCTCTTCCGCAGGCCCATCGAAGCGACAACGTCGCTGCGGTCCTGTGGCGCATTCGATTGCGGACTGTGTGGCTTCAGGGAAATCTCTGCCTAGAGTGTTTTCCAGTTTTCTCCTGTAAGCGTTTACATGGGTCTGTTGGGTTTCATGGGCTGGGCTTGTCATCTTTGGATTTTATCTTCAACCTCAGCTAACTGGACCTAAGGTAAGTGAGAAGCATGCCTGCAGACTTGCGGCTGCCACGCACAAAGAACTGGAAGAGAGCAGCCCTATATCTTCATCAAGTTTTTTGAAGCGGCTTGAGCGACTACATTCAACTGGACATGAGAACAGGCTTCCCCAAGTGTTGCGTGAGTTTGGCCTGGAAGCGGATATCCCAATCAGCTACAGAAATATTGGTCTCAAGAAGCCTCACCCTGTTCTTCGGCTGAAAGATCTGGTGGCAACCCTTAACAAAGCTGGCAAACTCCATCACCTGTTTGCGGGGAACAATGGCAAGTCGCTAGAAAATTTCTGGGCACAGTATCGACTACTGCATCCAGGCCATGACGTGTTTACAAGACACTCGCAGCACCTCTCATCATGCTTACCGATGATGATGCACCTGGATGAGGGCACCACTCACAAGAAGAAATCTTTGATGATCTTATCTGCTCAGATTGTTTGTGGACAAGGTTCGCGACGAGCTCCAGGCCACAACTTCCTTGGCTCCACCTACCTCTCGCGATTCCTTTTTTCGGTCCTGCTTGGACGTACGTATGCCCGCCAAAAAAAAGTGTTGTACGACTTGTTGGATGCTTGGGCCACGGATCTCACTGAATGTTACCAGGATGGTATCCGTATCAATGATCAGGACACGATATGGCCAGTCATCCTTTCTTGTAAGGGGGACTGGCCAGCTGTAGCAAAAGCTGGCAGACTGCAGAGGAACTTTATGCGGGATGCCCCATCGAGTGGCAGCCCTCCTGGAATCTGCCACCTCTGCAGGGCGGGCATGCTGGGGTATCCGTGGAACTCATTCGAGGCAAACGCTGCATGGCTTCATGCAGACAGCCCTATTCCTTGGACCACCCCGTCTCCGCTTGCGAAGATACCTCAGGATTCATCGAACCCTGCAAGTTTTTACGCTGTGGACCTCTTCCATGTGTGTCACAAGGGTGTCGTCGCAGATTACGTGGCGTCGTCAATCGTGGCCCGCCCAAAACACGCTTCAGTCTTTTTTCGTGGGTTCAGGGTTGTATACAAACATCTATGTATACAAATTGGTGCTTTTACAGTAGACCTTGAAGATTGTGTAGGCAGCTCTGGTCGATGCGGATTTAGTGGGTGATGCTCCAGGTGGCTTCGAAAAACGCTTGGCATCCTTCTATGAGGGTGCAAAGGCATGGTGCACTGCCCATGGCAAGTATCTTCACATGACGAACCTGACAAAAGACCTCCTGGGATTAGACACGATCGGGGCTGACTATCCTGTTGGGCTACGAGGCTTCAACTAGGATCCAGTTTGATTGTACCATCCTCGACAAATAGTGATTCAACATATCATTTTCTAAAGTTGGAGTAGATGTAGTTGACTTCCAGCCCAGGCGATGGTTCAAAGGAGCGGACACAGCCCTGCTATCCGAGTACCTCGAAGACAAATACCGTGTCATTTTAGCTGACCTGGAAAATGAGGAGCTAGAAGAAGACTTCCGAATAATCTATGACGGCTTGGTGGCTATCAACACTTTTATGTCGAGTATTTACCATCAACCTTTGTGGCTCCAGCCCACAGACGCTGCCCGGATCGCGCAGCAAGGCATGCTGTTCATGCGCGCTTTTAATTGCGCAGCAAGCAGAGCACTTGAAAAGTCTGTGCCGCGGTTCAAAGTGATGCCGAAATTTCATTTTTTTCGCACATATTGTGCACTCAATGAGACGAGCTGCGAGGATGGATCAAGTGAGTCTTAACGCGCTGGCTTATGCGTGTCAACTCGACGAGGACTTCGTGGGCCGCGTAAGCGGCCAGTCAAGAAATGTATCCATCAGAAATGTGCACGAGCGCACCTTGCAGCGTTACTGCCTCAACCTAGCCCTGCGCTGGTAGTCAAAATGTGTCCGAACAGAAAGCATTCTTGAAACCTCTCAATTGGCCCCAAGCCCCAACCTCCCAACGTGTCCTTAATCTCCTCGCCACAGCATGCCAGCGGCTCGCCAACATTCAGAGGCTTCGGGGTTGTTTTTGGAAGGTTCCCTCTTCTTGGGTATTGGATGATGCTTATGTAGCTTTTAATGTGGGTCGAACTGTTTTTCATCAAGCTTTATAAGGATTCCTTGTGCTCATGTTGAATTACTTCAAGAGTCTGTAGGAGCCCAAGAGCAATAATGTGCACTTTCAAACAGCGGCGATTATTCATGTCACAGTGCCCTGTTGCACTTAATCAAGCACACCCAGGCTTTCCAGGTAAACCCTAGACCCAAAGGCCAAACTCCATGGTCCCTCAAAGTACGGGGTGGATCCTGTTCAGCAGAATCTGCACACAACCTTCACCATCACCCCCTCTAAACCCTGAACCGTTTATCCCCACCCCAATTCCCAAAGCGCCTTTTTGCCGCTCATATTCCCATTACGTGGTACCTCCCCCTTCTCTCCCCTGTTTTCTGAAGAGGCTCTGGACTAATACGGATTTAGGGATTTAGGGTTTAGGGCGTCGGGTTTAGGGTTGAGCCCTGCACCCCTACATATTCTTTCTCCAGCTTGTTGTCTGCAAACACAATTTGCCTCTATTTCCCTGCAAGAAAACTCTCAACCCTACCCAAGGGCATATAGGGCTTCTACAGGGGTAGTTATACCAGGGATATATAGAGAGTATATAAAAGTGCATGGGGTGAAGGGACTAGACTAGGGCTTTTGCAGTTTACCCATTGGCTTTTCTGTAATTCCTTTTTTGAGCTGCCCCAAAGGGGAACTACTCAGGTGCCGCTGTGTGTTCAACTCGAAACATAAACGTTGGAAACCAGTCCGTACTCAAAAGCCTATACGCTCAATCTGAACCCCTACACCCTTAACCTAAACCCTATACCTGATCCTAGACCCTAAACCCCTAAGCCCCTAAACCCTAATTAATCCACAAATAAACTCCACACCTGAGAGCCTGAATGCATCCTGGTCTGCAACCCGCCCTCTGATCCTGCAAGCGCTCAAATTCAAGCCCCATGCCTCTGATCCTAATCCCAAACCCTGATCCCTACACTTTACATCCCACAAAGTACCAACCCTGAAACTTGAAACGCCGTACATCCTAGGTTGGCTCAGTGCTGGCTGGTGGAAGCCTGGGCCGTGCCTGACGGACTTCTGCTTGCAAGGGTTACACGGGTTTTCCAGGGGGATTATATCAAAATAAGAAGGAAACAAAAAGGAAATATGTCACTATTTAGGGTTTAGGGCCCCAGCTGGTTTCAAGCGGTTTTCTAGGTGGCCTCAAGTGACGAGGTATACAGCGTGCTGATATCTTTACTGGCTAGCTGTCTTTGGCGCATGTTATGGGCTTTGGGGCCATGTTTCGTTGGTACATCTTCAGTGCAGGTAAACACATGGTTCATCCTGCCGATGAAGACTGAAAGCAATGACAAAATGTTACTACTGCAGACATCTACAACATGAAGCAGAATAACTTGTACGGTGGATAGCAAGTGGATACTGTTGATGGATGAAATCTTGCACCACCTAGGGGCCCTAAGCTACTGTAATTCCTAGAACTTTAGGGACTTAAGGTGGTGCAAGGTTTCCTCCAGCAACAGTAGTAATAGGGTACCTGCAGCTTGTTATGGTACTCGGTCAGCTTCAGACTTGTCGCTGCCGGACCTGAGCCCTAAACAACTAATCCTGATAAACCTACGCCCGAAAACCTAAGTCCTAATTAAACCCTAAACACGAAACCCCGAACCCCAAGCCCTAAACCGCAAAACAAATCCTATAAGCACTATAGATCTTAATCCCAAATCCACAAACAATGTGCGCGTTACTGAGGGCGCGTCCTCGGGGTGCTCTCCGCTAGCCCCACGTGAGCGGGCATAGTTGCCCTGAATACTTGGTAGGTTCGGGCTTGCAGTGGATAGGGCTCGGAAGTTCAGGGCTGAGCCTATGTGCATGATACCTATATGTTTAGGATTGTTTAGGGTTTAGGGTTTGGGTTTAGAGTTCAGGGTTTGGGTTGAAGGTTTTGAAAGGGCGCCAAAAGCCAAAAATGGCACTTACTTTGAGCGATGTCATATAAGAAAGGGCCCCTACTCTATGGAACCCCTGAATCTACTACTACAAGCTTGAAAACGGGCATGTGTGTATTACAGGTTTCCCGATAGTGGTTTTTTGGGCCATTATGGAGTGTAGATAGGGGGGTCTTGGTCTATTTGGGGTCCCTTGGGCACCGACCGAATTTATCATCTGCACCCAATGATGCAGCGGGCAATCCAAAACGATGTCCAAAGCTAGCTGATCCATATTGACTATCATACGTCTTTGCAGTTCCAATGCACGATGCCGATCCAGGCACCCCAAAAGTTGCTAACACAAATGGGCCATACCCTAAACCCCACAACCCGAAACCGTAAGCCCGTATAATAAAGCCCTGAAGCTGCGTAGGGTGCTTTCCCTGCAGTTCAGCACAAGGGTTCCCTGTTTGATGCCTACTGCCCCTAAACCCTAGAGCAATTAGGCTTTCAGGGCTTCGTGTGTGTATCTTGGGAATGCAAACAACCAGAAGTGGAGCAGATGCTCCCCAGCAACCACTTTTGTAGATGATAATATAGAAGGTGCTTTCCTAGGAAATGGTAGCTTTGGGAACGAGAATCTTATCTCTGATTGTTTGGGTCCCCAATAAAACCGAAACCTCAAGTTCCAAACCCTAGACCCTAAACCCTAGACCGTTCGACCAGTTTGGGTTTCTGGAGCATGTGGTTCCTACTCAGGGCTTCAGGGCACCCAGAGCTTTGCCCAGAATCCTGTACTGGGTTGTTGTTACGAACTTGAAATAAGCTACTACGGTAAAAAAACCCTGTTATGTACCATATACTCATATCCTGGTAACTTAGCTTATTTTCTTTTAGCGCAACCAAGTTACCACAGTAAGGATAACCTGTTATGTACCATATATTCATATTCTGGTAACTTAGTTTATGTTCTCTAAGCGCAACCCAGTATGCCCTGCCTCTTTTTCTGGTGTAGGTTTGGGGGCCCTATACCAATCGATTTTTATTGCTTTATAAGGATTCTATGGGAATTAAGCGTATAAAAAAAAGAAACATTGTTCAAACCTCCCCCTGTTATCGGGATACCTAACTTGATGTGAAATCTCTCCTATCTGAGAAAATGTTAGGTACACTACAACAGGGGTGGGGTTTAAAGATCTAAGTAAGCAAGCTAACAAAGTCATCGCGCATACTTGGGCTCGCATCATTCCAAGCTTTCATGAAAGTGTCTGGGTTCGGGGTGTCGGGGCTTCGCAAAAGGGTTCAGGGCCCTCCTGGACTCCAGAAAATGAATCAAACAAATGGCCCCAGACATGAGAAGTCTTGGAACCCTAAACCCTAACCCTTTAACCCTAATCCCTTAACCCTAATCCCGAATCCCTAAACGGTATATTACGAGCAAGGCCCTGAGTAGCTGCCGGCTAGGCAGCGGGTCGCAGCGAGCCCGCCGAGCCACAAACGACGGCAACCGAAAACAGAGCAGGAAATCTGGCTGGTCGAGGTGCCTTACTGACGCTAGCCCGACGAGAAGTTAGCTTCGAGGGTGTTACTCTTCTTATGCATTATTGAAAGGGCGTACCAGCCGTACCTGTCTTAGTATATTATATTACCCTACAGCCAGGACCCCCGTCCCAACAAGAGCGGCCTTTAGGGGGTCTTGCACGCTTTCCACGACGTCCCCTTCAGCGGCCTCCCAGCTTCGCACATTACAGGTGTCTGTTTTACAACTTCGCAAAGGCCCTCCACTTTCGCCACAATCAAGAGCCTCCGGGCTCCAGGACCCTCCCAGGGTTCGCACAGCTTCCGAAAAATCAAGGCAGCGCCTTAGAGCGCAGCTGCAGCAAGCGAAGCCGCCGCGGCCCCGCACACAAAAAACGATCACTTAAAACTAAGCCGGCGCTTTAGGGCGCAACAGCAGCGAGCGAAGGCCCTGCAGCCCTGTGCGCAATACTGATTTCTAGAAACCCTGGCGGCGCCTTATTGCGCAGCGGCAGCGGACGCAAAAGGATCACTCAAAACCAAGGCGGCGCCTGAGAGTGCAGCGGCAGCGAGCGAAAACGTCGCGGCCCCGTGCGCAAAATAGATCACTAAAAACCAGAGGCAGTGCCTTAGAGCGCAGCGGCAGCGAGCAAAGGCGCCGCAGCCCTGTGCACAAAACAGATGTCTAAAAACCGTGGCGGTGCCTCTGAGCGCAGCGGCAGTGAGCGCAAAAAACATCAGTCGAAACCAAGGCGGCGCCTGAGAGCGTAGCGGCAGTGAGCGACGGCGACGTGGCCCCGTGAGCAAAAAGTCAATAAAACCTGCGGCGGCTGCCGTCAGCTTTTTTCACAGATATGCCGTGTAATGAGAGCCCAAAACAGAAGAAGATCCGAGCCACCATCAAAAAACCCTATACCCTAAAAGAGTAAGGACTGGGTGGTCTCGGGGTGGGATATTAGCTTTAGCGCGGCGCGC